GTTCTTATCTATTATATAGTACTTAGATTCGCGTTGAAGAACTTTGAAAGGTCCTTCATATGTTGATTCGAGAGGTCGTCGATGCGAGTCTCGACGCACGAAAACGTGTGTACTATGTAGTAAGTCAGGTTGAACGAAAACATCAGTTGATTGTGGTCGAGTGAAAACAGGTTTAACTGAACGCATTGCGTTTGTAAGCCTGTTCGCGTAGGAGGTTAGATCCATGTCCATCGAAGAGGATGAAGGATCCACGAACTCTCCTGGAAGTCGAAGGGTCGTACCATAAACGAGTTGAGATGCAGTGTATCCAATGTCAGATTTCACTGCATTGCGTACGCCTAGTCAGACGAGTGGAAGAGCGTCAGTCCACTGAGAAATGTTTGAGGCTGATAGTGACGCTTTTAGTTGTCGGTGAAAACGTTCTACTAACCCGTTTGCTTGTGGGTAATAGGCCGTCGTTCGGAAGCGAGTGATTCCTAGTTTCATGGTCAGACAACGGAACAGTTCAGATTCAAACTGACGTCCACGATTTGTAGTAATGGTTGTTGGGCAGCCGAAGTTTGCTACCCACCTCTCGACGAAGGCGCGGGCCACTGTTTCAGCAGTAATATCTTTGGTGGGTACTGCTTCTGGCCATCGAGTAAAATGGTCTACGCAGGTTAAAAGATAAGAATATCCATTTGAATCTGGTAAAGGTCCTACCAAATCCAAATGAACATGGTCGAAGCGAGCATCGGGAGTTTTAAACGAGCCTAAGGGACATTTGTTATGCCTAATAACCTTAGATTTCTGACAGCTTACACAGGAGCGTGCCCATTCCCTCACATCTTTATTCATACCAGGCCAGCAAAACCGTTCTGCTATAAGCTTGATGGTTGCACGAACACCTGGATGAGAAAGTCTGTGCAACGTATCGAAGACGTTGCGTCGATATTGTTTCGGCACGATTGGGCGATCCCTACCTGTAGATGTGCCACAAAGTAAGGTTTCCTTACCTGTTCCCATCTGTTTAATGCGCCGTTTAATTGTTGTTGAGGCCAACTCGTGCTGAAGATCAGTGTCTTCTTTTTGAAGCTGGGTGAGTTTCAGAAGGTCGATTCCTTGGAAACTGTTCAAGTAAGTTATTCGAGACAAGGCGTCTGCAACCACATTGTTTGCTCCAAAAATGTGTTGAATATCTGAAGTGAACTGCGAAATGTAGTCCAGTTGTCGAGACTCACGTGGTGAGTACTTGTCCGAAGAAGAGCCTAAGGAGAAGGTAAGTGGTTTATGGTCGGTAAAAATGATAAATTCACGGCCTTCGATATAGTGTTGAAAATGCTGGACAGCACAATACATAGCTAGGAGTTCCCTACCGAATGTGCTGTACCTTAATTCAGTGTCTAGCAACCGTCTAGAGAAAAATGCCAAAGGTTGCCATGAGTGGTTAACCCATTGTTGTAAGACTGCTCCGATTGCTGAGTCGGATGCGTCTACTGAGATGCTTATGGGCGCTTTAGGGTCCTGATGAGCAAGCATTGCTGCTCGGGCGATATGTTCCTTAACCGTGGAGAATGATTTTCGTGCGGTGTCATCCAGATTGATGGATTTCGCATTTCCACGAAGTTGGTCGGTAAGGGGTTTCATAAGTAACGCGCATTTCGGTATGAATCGTCTATAAAAACTTACCAGACCGTTAAACGTGCGCAATTGCTTGATGGTGGTCGGTTCTGGGTAATCCAGAATGGCCGCCACTTTCGTTCTAAGGGGTCGAATGCCATGCGCATCTATAGTGTGTCCTAAGAAGTCTAAGGATTCGGTTCCGATTTGGCATTTCTGAATGTCTACGGTAATGCCATGTTTTTGTAGTCGGTCGAAAACAAGGTCCAGATACTGGAGATGTGATTCTCTGTCCGGACTTGCTATTAGACAGTCATCAACGTATGCATGTACGAAGTTGAAACCTCGAAGAACGTCATCTATGAACCTTTGGAAAGTCTGTGCCGCGTTTCTCAGACCGAAAGGCATTCGCGAAAATTCATAGAGTCCGAAGGGTGTTATAATAGCGGTTTTTGGAATATCGTCAGTGCCATAGGAATTTAGTTATACGATTTAACCAAGTCGATTTTCGAAAAGACAGCTGTGCCTTTCAAGGTAGCTGTCAAATCGTGATTGTGAGGCAACGGGTAACGATCGGGAATGGTTTTTGCATTCAATCACCGATAATCACAAGTGGGACGCCAAACTTTGCTGTTCTTTTTAGGGACCATGTGCCACGAAGATGCCCATGGGCTGTTTGAAGGTCGTGTGATTCCTAAGTCTATCATATAGTCGAATTCGTTTTTGGCCAACCTTAACTTCTCAAAGGCCAGTCGGCGTGCTTTCGAGAATACAGGTGGTCGTTTAGTCGTGATGTGATGTGTAACATTGCTGGTTACACACGGCAATTTCGGTTGCGATTGGTAAATGCCAGATTACTTATCGAGTAGTGGTTGGTAGAAGGAGTCTATAGTGTGCTTAATAGTGACTGGGGATAACCTGCAACCAGAAAAAGAAGTCAGGCAAACAGATAAATTAGTATTTCCGTCTACTAACCTCCGTTTGCGCGTATCGATAATTAAGTCGTGGTGTTGTAGAAGGTCCATACCAATGATTGGCATAGAAACATCTGCAACAACAAAAATCCAGTGAATGGGTATGCGTAAACCCACGTTAAGATAAACATACCTTTGGCCATAAGTAGCGATAGGCTTTCCGTCTGCCGCCTGTAGATTTAAAACAGGCTCGTGTAGCCTGTCGTCGGAATTCGCTGGGAGAACGCTAACCTCTGCGCCAGTATCTACGAGGTAGCAAACTCTCGTTATCACATCTGTGACATATAAAAGACGGCTATGTTCGCCGGCTACGGTCGCCGTTAACGCGTGCCGGCTTGGGAGTTTCCCGAAACGTTCTTCGCGTCGACGGATTTCGCGTTGGGGAAATTGCAGGGTTTTCTGCAATTTCTGGCAGACTTTCCGTACTGGTTATGGTACCAGCACCAATCAGGATTATCCGTCTCTCGAGTTCTAGATACAGATCGCCTACGTGATGTGCTTCTCCGCGGAGTAAGTGATCGTTTACGGTCGTTACCGAGTTTGAGATAGCGCGTAAGTGTATGACATAACTGTGTTATGTCATTCTGGGTCGTTTGAGGCTTTTCTTTGACTGCAAAAACCTCGGCTTTAGGAGACCTAGTGATCTCGAGAACGCGATCGGCAGATGCCGCTAGTTCGTCTACTGCTTATTTTTGGAACGAGACCAAAACAGCTTGCACCTGTTGAGGAAGTTTGGATAAGAAAAGCTGTTTGAATAGGCCGTCATCGAAGGTTCTTTGGCCAATGACTTCTCACATTCTTTGCAACATGTCTGTGGCAGAACGGTGTTGCAGGTCGATGTTGTTAAGGAGTTGGTCTAACCTTTGTCGATCGGTTAGATCTCCGCGTTTAAGGATGGCCTGTTTCAGTGTTTGGTATGGATCAGCAACATCACTAGTAAACATACTAGGTGTTACGTACCTGTTGAATTCGCGCGGTAGTGCCTTGACTACTGCGAGGAATTGTGCACGCGCATCGTTCACACCGTGCTCGAAGAAGTCGGCTTCTGCGTAACAAAACCAGGCTTCGATGTTGTCTGGCCAGAAAGGCATAAGTTGGAAAGAGGGTGGGGACACAGTCTTTAACTTAAATACTTTAGGGGTCTGTTCAGTCATAGTAATATACCAAGTACGAAAAGTGAACGAGTGGCAAATATATATATGAACCCAAAAACACGGAAAAAAATATCACAATGCAAAAAAAAGAAATTAAAATAAGACAATGATATATGAAATCACAAAAAGGAACAGACTCACAGTTTACAATATGGTGTACCAGATCGCGTCGGGCTCACCAATGAAGATGCCACAGGTATTCGGAGTTTGACAACGCTTTAACCAGTAACACCTTCTAATACGAAGCGCACCCACCAAGTAAAATCAAAAGACAGAAGCGAGGAGATCGAAGATATATTTGATAAGCTATCAATATATCGAGGATCGTCTGAACTAATCTGGTTAGCGATTGCGGCAGATGTTGAGCACGGCGTTCCCACACGTGATCTGGTGCGGATGCTTGACCGAGCGCCTTCAGCTAGATGAGTCCACTAAAACTGTGGTCAGCATCCAATGTCGAAAACTTACAGAGCTATTTGATTTTGGGGAATTATTTACCGCTACACTGCTTTATAACCCTGGTTTAGTCCTAATTGGTTGTTTGCTCTCAAGGTCACTTCTGCTTCTCTCAAAGCCGTCCATAAACCATGGTCTTACCCAAAAACTAATTAAAATCCTAGTCAGTTTTGTGGTTAGTCGTACAACATTTTTGTCACTTTTCCAGGCAAGCTTTTGAATATGTAGCTTTTGTTATATGTTGATTTCTATGAACACTTAAATAGGTGTTCACAGCTGTGTAATTGTCAACCTTATACCTGTATAGGGATTAAAATCCCTCCTCAGTTGATAATGAAAGACTGAAACGTTATTTGTTTGGCATGTGGCTACATATCTTGTTTATCTGCTTTCTAAGTGATTCATATAAATCATTAAGCGTAAAAGAAGTGACTCAATTACTCACAGTTACATGTGCTGCGTGAAAAATCCGAAGCATGTCCTAGTTCAGGCTCTAAAATCTCTGACAAGCAACCATACGACTAAAAGGCCTTTGTCAATTATAACTTCGTAGCTAGATGGAATTCTGAGGTCATGTATTGCCGTAAACTCTTGATCTTTGCACTTGGGAATCTTGATCATACAGCTTCCTTAAGGAAGCTAGCATAGCACGGTTAAATTTAACCGTGCTATGTTGAAAGCCTTTATAACCGATAAGAATTACAACCATACTAGTATCCACTACTAATCACTACCATCCATACACTTAACTAGTGCATTAAAAAAATACTCGTAACCCTACTACGTCACCATTACATATATATGTAAACATATGTTTAGTTTCAGTTTCAGTTTCAGTTTGGTAAGGACAGGAGGCTTGATGGCCTGTGTTAGTCCTGGCAATTGTGTTCTCTCAGTTGATCCAACTTTCTTTTGAAAGAATCTACAGATGGAGCTTCAACCACGTGCTGAGGTAATGAATTCCACTCGTTGATGATTCGGTGGGAAAGTCGATAATCAGCTGACAAGTAATTCGTTCTGGGCTTGTGAACTTTTTTGGAGTGTCCTCGTAAATTCTCTGTTTTGGAAGACAAGAAAAATGAGGGCATATCAGGTGCAAATTTATTACTAAGCAATTTGAAAACTGTAATCAAGTCGCCTCTAGTTCTACGATATGACAAAGGGAATAGGTTTAGCTTGGCCAGTCGAGCATCATACGGAAGCTTCGCTATTACGGGAATCAGCTTAGTTGCTGTTCTCTGGACCTTTTCTAAAAACTCACTGTCTTTTTTAAAGCAGGGGCTAGCCGCTTGTATGCAGTACTCAAGTTTGGGACGCACGAACACTGTATACAAAGTCAAAAATATTTTAGCGTCGACATGAGTAAAAGCCCTACGTATTGACCATAAAGTTCTAAAAGCTTTGGCGGCTGTTGCACGGCAGTGTGCAGTAGTCTTCAGATCTTGGCTAACGATGACTCCTAAGTCATTATGTGTCTGGACAGCAGGTAGCTCAGTGTTATTCATCGTGTATGTTACTGAACCTTGATGACCGATATGCATCACAACACACTTGGAAGTATTTATCGGCAGCTGCCATGTATCAGACCATTCGGATAATTTCTTCAGGTCATTTTGGAGTTCTAAGCTATCACCATTACATCGTATCGTCCTCCATATCTTGACATCGTCAGCATATAGTAAGACCGATGATGATAGTAAGCGAGGAAGGTCATTTACATACAAGAGGAATAGCACTGGCCCCAAAACTGTACCCTGGGGCACTCCACTAAGCACAGTTTCCCAGCTAGATAATTTTGAGTTTACCCGTACTCTTTGTTGGCGCCCAACAAGGAAGTCTTCTATCCACGTCAATAGATTGCCTCCAATTCCGACATTTTTTAGCTTATATAACAGCCGGTTGTGCGGAACTTTGTCAAAAGCTTTGCTGAAATCAATGTAAGCCACGTCTACAGGTAACTTTTGGTCCTTAGAAGCGCACCAGCTTTCTCGAGTGACTAATAAGTTAGTGAGACAAGAATAACCTATTCTGAAACCGTGCTGTTTCTCCGAGAGGATTCGGTTTACATCGAGGTACTGAAACAGCTCTTTCCGAATAATCTTTTCTAAGATTTTTACAACCACACTAGTTAGGCTAACGGGTCGGTAATTCTCAGGTTTATGTTTCGTACCTGTTTTGAAGACAGGACTTACTATGGCGTTCTTCCAGTCTTTTGGTAAACGACCCTGCGTGACGGATAGCTTAAAGCATATACTTAAAGGGTTCGCAACGAAGCTAGATAACTCCTTTAGTAGCCTAGGATGCAATTCATCGGGCCCCACGGATTTACCTATGTCAAGCTTATTTAGCAGATCAAAGACATCGAGTTCATTAATGGTCACGCTATCCAGTGTATGTGTAGGGGGGTTTGTATGCGCTGACGGGAAGGGTGCTTCTATGGTATATACATTGCTAAAGTAGTTTGAGAACACTTGAGCCTTACCAAAGTCATCTTCCACTAATGATGCGGCAGTACTGTCTCCCCATAGTGCAGGGATAATTCCTCTTCTTTTTGTCCTTTGGTTTATATAGGAATACAGGCGTTTAGGACATTCTATGGATTCCTTAACAATTTTTTCTTCGTACAGTTTTCTAGACTTACGGAGGGTCGAGGCACAGGTATTCCTAGCTTTTCGGTACTGAGATTTTGTCTCATCAGACCCCAGTAACCTAAATCTATCCCACATATTTCTTCTCTTACGGAGAAGGATGCGGACCTCCTTATTGAACCATGGTGGGGAGTTTCTCGGCCCCCTTGGTCTAGTCCAAGGAATGTGGGGTGCGGTAACTTTTAAATATAGATTTCGGAATGCATTCCAAGCCGTTTCAATTGAGGACGCTGGGTCTATTGTCCAATCTACTAGTGATGCCGAGTGCATGGTATCTGGTATGCTTGCTTTCCAGACGTTAGGTCTGGATTGAGTTGACGCTTGCTCGTGATTGACAGTTATATGAAAGTCAAAGTTTAAAACTGCATGATCACTTTTACCTAAGGGTGGCATGTAATGGAGGTTCGCAACGTCATCCTCATAGTGAGTTAATATAAGATCTAGCAAGGATGATTCAGTGTCCGGGTCGTACCTAGTCGCTTCTTTCACATGTTGCACTAAGGCACATGTTATAACCGCGTCAACTAGTTCCTGCTCGAAGGAATTATCTGATGATTCGGTTCGCAGATTTCTCCAGTCTACCGTAGGTGCATTAAAGTCCCCTAGGATTAGACATCGACCACATCGCGACCAATTTTTGAGCCTGTTTAACAGGACATCATTTACCTCACAGCTTGGACTGCGATAGACCAAACCAATTAGCAGCTCTTGTCCCTTGAATTTCAAGCGGCAACTAATCAATTCACACGTCCCACTTTCATGGGATACACTATCAACGATGACAAACGGGATAGCATTCCTAATGAATAGAGCTACTCCCCCTCCTTTACGCTTATGTATTCTGTCGGTCCTTACTAAAGTAAAACCCTCAAAATCGAGTTCCATATTATCTATAGACTGTGTCAGCCAGGTTTCTGTGACTGCGATTATGTCTGGCTCTGTAGAGTCAATCTGTTCACCTAGTTCCGATAGCTTATTTAACAAGCTTCGGGCATTTGTGTAACAGATCCTTAGCCTATTTGAGTGACTTCGTGTTTCACCCAGAGTGGCTTCGCCATCATTCTCTGACGAAGCCTCACAACCCGAAAATTTACAATTTTCAGGTCCTTTTCGCCAGCGTCTAACCTCATTTGTAGTTCTTTTTCGGCTTCCCGTCTTTTTACACGGTCTGCCAACGGCAAGTCCTTTCGGATAAAAACTCCCGAACCCTTTAATTTATGTCCATTCTGTAAAATTAAGTCCCTTTCGTTCGAAGATTTGAAAACTACTTTAAGCAGTCTAGATTGATTAGGCTTCAAGTTCGCTAAACTACCTAGTCTATACACCTTTAGCAAGGTGACTCCGGAGATATTTTCAGGCATGAGTTTATTAAGTAGCTGTTTTATCAGGTCAATGTCATGCTCAAAACGAGTTTTTGGTTCGGAGCTTTCGCTCTCCTTGATCCTATGAAAAATGACTGATCTGTTACTGTGATCAGCATTCGGTTTTTCGACTACTTTTGTGGGGGCAGGGTTCCCTTTTATATCATTTTTCTGTTTCTTCCTCACAACCTGTACCCATTCGTCAACGTTGCTTGGAGAAGCAACCACAGTCGCGTCAAACATACTGTGGGATTCCGGAGGGTTTTCGATGACTTGGGAGGTCAGGTTTGGTGTCCCTTTGGAAACTGATCGAGCCTTGCGGTTGCGGCTTCTATGTGTTTCTTTCTGGATACCATTTTGAGGACGTGGGACAGAAGAAACGTTTTTCCTTGAGTTTTTTGTGCGGACAGAACTCTTTGGGGATTGTTCTCCCCCCTTTGATCGGTGCGAGTCATCTGTTTTCGAACTCACTTTAGTTTGACTCACGCCAATTTGCGTGTCAACGGAGCGAGTACTTGATGATGTGTCGCGACCACTCTTACCAAAACATTTTTTAGCAGCACTAACCAATGAGATGGCCTCGGTTAGCAAACTGTTAGCATCCGAACAGCACTGTTGACAGAGCCATACGCAACCATTCCTACTGAACCGTTTGAAAGCTGCAGGCGTTAAATTTGTGCAAACTTCGTGGTACCATCCTTTGCACTCATCGCACTGCATGCCGCTTTCAACAGGATAACGACAGCCCGGGCGTTGGCAATTACTTTTTTTACACTGTCCAGTCATTTAAACACGGGGGTTTTTTTTTTTTTTTAAAAAAAAGGAACTAGATGCAAAGACACTCAGGGACAAAAAAAACAATCTATGACCACAATCTATCCACACCTTAAGATAAATAACAAACATCAGATTAGATTACTCTGCAAAGTAGAGTAAATGGAGACCTTAAATTATATCTTGAGGTATTTGACTCAGCAGGATCCCATGAAAAGATAGATTGCCATATATCACCACCTTTTGATTTGCTTGACTAATGAAGTGTTTAGGCTACTATTTATTCTTTTATTTGGTTCTAAAACTGCAAATACGCCTGCATTTTCTCTAGCTGATATCTTTAATCAGTATTTAAAAAGGTGTACTTATATCTTCATCTGCAGCCCACTTTATTGGGATACAGTTTATAAAACAAGAGCAGCTCATTGTAGGAGTTCGTTGTCTTCTGGCTATAGGATAATCTTTCACAGTACAAATAATCTTTTCTAGTACTTTAATATGTTTACTGGTAAGATAGGCTAGTCGATGATTATTTCCTAAATTCCTATATCCAATTCGAAGAATAGATTGGTGATTTCGTCTCCCCAGCTGCTTGGAAATTTTGATTGATTTAGTGATATTTTAAATATCATCATCATTGCTACAGTAAGACCTATTAGCGTTTGTATCATTCATGTAAACCACTGGACCTGGTAGGTTCAATATATTAAATGTTTTGCCACTGTTGTTTGAACGTAAATATCTGAGATACTGGGTGGGTTCACGTAAAGTTAACTATGGTATCAACAGAATCAAGTACTTTTTAAAAGTCATGTTGGCCTAATTCCACCATTATTTTGTCGTCTTATAGTTCCTTATGTGTGGTATTTAGTGGTTACCGTAATTATCTATGAACTTCTTGATTAACGTCTCATTTGGGAAGCCTAAAGTATCCAGTTATTTACTTTTTTCCGTTAAGGATTTTTGGATCGTTGATCGTCGTAATAACTATTGTATTCAGTAGTATTTGCCTGTTTAGTCTTCCTATCTTGTTCTTTATTTACCTTATGTATATCATAGGCTCATCAACTTTTGAAAAGCAGTGAAATATTGATCTATATCGGTACTGCTTAAATTCTTACATGGATGTAATTTTCGAAAGTTCACGTATTGCAAAAAATGTTTCATTCACAACTTATTGCCGTCTATTAGAAAAGCTAGCATCAAGTGATGGGGTCAAGACGAAAGAAAAAATTTTGTCCAAATTTATAATTTTATGGGAGACCCAGTATCTTGCATTAAACTCAATAAGTCAGTATCCGTGTGGTGGTCGAGCTAGTCTTTATTTACTCTTACGTTTGTTGATTCCTTCTCATGATAGATCAAGGAAAGCTTTCGGATTGCGTGAACAAACACTATCAAGACTAATAATTAAAGCTATCGGGCTCGCCCCAAACAGTCTGGCTGCTCGTAAACTTTCACATATTCATCCTAATATTGTCCATCGACAGACTGATTTTGCCGATGTAGCATATACAGTGCTCAAAGCTCGATGTCGTGAGGACAGTGTTTTGTCTGTCAAGGTACGTAAATATGTATAATTTCAACTTATTACTTTATTCAATTTGTTCATTGGTTGCCGAGACATATTACATCCTCAGCATCTCAGTTTATGTCTTGACACTTGTCCAACAGAGATGATTGGATTATCTGAAACATAATAGCCACCAATGTTTGTATTAAGAAAATTCAGACTACTTTGATAATTCAGAAGGTTCTAAAATGATAAACGTAACTCGATGAACTAGGAGTCAGTCAAAAAGTGTTCTTCATAATTCGGCATTGTTTACTGTTCATTTACGTGTATCATATATGTCTTGAATCCAACTAACTCTCTTGAAATCAACCCCAAGATGTTTAATCAGACCATCTTGTTTTGCACGAAATTTGCCAAATATTGACTTTAATATTAGTGATTTATGTTGCATACACCTATAAAGTGCAAGATAGGCTTTCCTAAGAATTATGAGTCTGTCTGTAGTTATCCACCAAACTAGTGGAATATATTAGTCGTATTTGAGGAAACTTATTATTGTCACACACTCATTTAGTCTTTTTTGAGACAGTACTGAATTGTCGATTTTTATTGATGTAAATGCTATGTACACATATGTTTTGTCAGTCAGTCAGTCAGCTGCAACGTAGGACCAGGCACGTATATGCATCGGTCCAAGTTGCCATACCGCATTAGCACAACAAGGTGAACACCGGATTCATAGGAGTAGTTAATTCAACATATGTTTTGTAGTTAACAACTTTGAGTAGTTTTTTTTAAATTAATATTACGTACTTAAACCCACTATAGTTTAGTTAGCACGACATTAAAAGCATGTGATTTCAATGGCTGTATAGTCTTGTTAAATATTTTTTGATGACATTAGATTAAAATAACATCAGTTTTTGTCTGTGAGAATTTATGTTACATATGTGGAGCAATGTCTAGCCTTGTAATGGGATATTCATTGGAGTAGGATTACGATATTAAAAAGTTACGAATAGGCTAAGACCGCACATTAATTCATGGTAACTATTTTCTTGGTTTGAGTTGTGTATAGAGTTACAGACTAAGTTGGGTCTTATATTTGTTGATGATCAGTGGTTGATGAATTGTGATGGTACGGTTTAAAATAGATAACACTAAATAAACGCATCCACAAATTTTAGATGTTTTTTTAACGACTCAATTGTCGGTTTTTACTTTACTGTCTCTGGATATATTCTGAAATTTCTTCTGTTCTGTTTTAAATTGTGATAACCTAAACTGTTGAAATCTGTATACAATTCGACTCAGTTGTAAGCTTTTTAGCTTTTTTAACTATCAAAATTGATTGTACCTAATTCCTGTAAAATAACCGATAAATATTTCGTGTTGGAAAAATGGTAGAGTTTCTAGATACCTAATCCTTGTTAGAGAAAATAGATAAGAAAATGGAAGGAAATAGTGACATTATTTGTGGTCTACAATTCGTCGATATTAATTGGTTTACTAGTGTTATGGTCCGACGGAGGGGGTTCTGTCAGTTAGTCAGCTACAACGTAGGACCAGGCACATATATGCATCAGTCCAAGTTGCCATACCTCACTAACACATCAAGATGAACATCGGATTCATAGAAGTAGTTAATTCAATTGTGGTTATATATAAAAGAAGGACTGCATATATAACAAGAAAGAATTGGTTCGTAGAAAGAAAGATACGAAGCGGTTTTAATATCATAGTTTAAGGGAAGATAGAGAGTGTATACGCCTACGCCATTGTGATCGATTCTGAGCCATGTCACCCAGAGTCCCCAACCATTAGTCACGCATCGGCTTTTCTAAATGCATTCAAGAAACGTGGTAGAAGCCTTTCTGTGGGTCCTTCAAGACATACTTACCACCACAGACATGTATAAATTCATGTATTTCCCCATATGCCCTGGTAAGGTCAAGAGTGGAGAGAGCCAGCTCTTCCTCTCGAAATGCTCTCACATGTTCACGTTCATACAACCACCGCCAGGGAAGCCCTAATCACCGTCTTTTCGCGCGGGGGTGTTTTTTACGAAGTTGAGAGGACGAAATATTTGGTGCTTTAACCGGATTGGTGGACACGGAAAGTCCATCTAGAAGAGTCGGAAACCCTGATTCTAAACCAATGGTGCACATGGGCCTCAGTAGCTTGAAAGAACAACTGGAGTATGAACCAATTATTGTTCACCGACTACCATTGGACTGCATCTCCTTACGATGTTCTACTACCTTGTGGACCAGACCTTTAGGTTGAAGGCTCCGGGTGTGACCCCCTAAGGAAACCACCTTCAGTTTGGGCACCCGGGCAGTATCCCGGCTCTCACACAAATCGAATGGTTTATGTGGCGCATACCTATTTGGTACCTCGTTGTACCAATGTCTATGTGTTTAAATAAAAAATAATGCTATTAGAAGTGACATCAGAAGGGTATTTATCTGCCTTAAAGTGACTTAGTAAACGTTTGGTGTTATAGTGAAATCAGTTGAGTTGTAAGAAGGCTTTTCAGTCCCGCTCTAATTCGTCTCTAAACTCTTCCTGAAATCTCATCTCCAACAGGAGATAGACAGGGATAGGCTTATTACAAATAGTTGGTTCATAATGTACATGATGCTCCTTTCCATATTTATCGATAAAAATTTTTGGGTATCCATTTTCTTCAAGGTTCTTTTCGATGATTGCCAATTCGTTTGTAATTCTGTTGTTTGGGCATCTCAATCTAGCTTTGTTAAAATGCGTTTTGACTTGACATGCAAATACTATCTATTCACACGACTCCCTGCACATCGTTAGTTAAGCGAAGCTAATTGAATGGGTGAAAAAATTACAAGGCGTATTGAATTAAGTTAACTTTGTTAGTTGAACGGGATTTCCAATACGCGATTTGTATTCTTTTGTTAACTTTGCTAAAACCGAACATTTGTGTTTACATTGCTAATAACATTCCACTAATAATTTCTCAATTTTTATTTACAAAATAAAGGATCTGAATACTCATTTAGATGACCTGACTACTGCTGAATCATATCATATGCGTTTACAAGTATTGCGATCGTTGTTACAGTTAACCACAGCTTTAGAACAAAAATGGATTATACGTCTTATTGTTAAACGAGATTCTGGTTGTGGCCTAAGCGGGAAGAGTATACTCAAATGCTTTCATCCAGCTGCGGTCTCTGTTTTCGAAGTTACTCAAGTTAGTTTTCTGCGTAACTGTCCATGAAAACAGTTGTTGAATATCTGTTGATAATTTGTAGTCTCCTATCTTTCATTCACACATTTATCTAGAAATATATGTTGTAAAATATGTACAGCTGAACTTTAAGTCATAATCTACCAGTTTTAATCTGTTATGAGCACAATACAATTACCAAAACTTACCAACAGGATACCACAACGTTGTGGCTGAGTAATAATTGTTCGCGAGAATAGATCTTTTGATTTGTAGCGTTTACTGGACAACTGACCATCCAACCACAATCGTATTTTTTCTAATACAGTGAAATATTTTCTTATGTAAGACAAAAGAAAAATGGTTAGATGTTAC